CATAGATCTGGTTTTCCATAAGGAGGGAATCTTGAAATGTGCCTTCTGTATAGTATTAAATGTCTGCTCTGAGGCAGCACAGTGGTATACTTTTAAAAACGATCCAAGTTTGATATTTTACAGCACTCAGATAAGTATTCACACATTAATAGCCTTATATTAGACTTTTTGATTAAAGATATAAGCAAATAGTCCATCCTATGCTGATTTTGTCTGAGCACATTTGAAACACATGGCAAAACCCTGACCATGGCACACAATGTGTCCCTTCCCTTCACTTAACTAAAGCTTTACTGAGCCCCTGGTGTACAGCAAAGTGCCCTGACAATCGGCTCAATGCCCTGGCCAATCACAGGGACACGTGACCTTCTAATCCCTCTCTGTGAGAAGGGTAAGAGTGTGTTGTCACTGTTGGTTTTGTGAATCAGCGCCCAAAATCCCAAATGATTTGTCAAGAGGGAGAGGTCTTAAGAGAATAAGAGAAACAAAAGCAGCGCAGGCCAGATAGTGTGGGTGTCAGTGTGTGCATGTGTGTGAGTGAGTGTGTGTGTGCGTAACAGAAAGACACAGAGAGAGAGAGAGAGGAGGTAGACCATGCTTTTGTCTATGCATTTGTGTGTGTTTGAGCGTGACTGCATATGTGCGTGCGTGTGTGTGTGTGTGTGTTTGTACAGGGTCTCTGAGATTACATAGCTTGGCTGACAGAGTCCTCTGTGTGTAATCGTGGGTCCACATGCGAGCGCTCACCTTCCTCTGAGCGGATTAACCTAACGCTAAATCCCAAGAGAGCAACAGGCCAGACAGGCCACACAGAACAGCTTCATTGACGATGGGCAGAAGAGGGAAGGCCATGTGTAAAATCTTTTTATAGATTAAAACACTTTTAGATATTTTATCATGAGTAAACAACTCATATAAAACAATAGAAGGGATTAGAGCAAGTAATGGGACAATATGCCGTGCACAACATAATCTTAAATTTTAATAATGTATCTCAAATGTAGCATACTTTATATAAGATGCATCTTTTTTTTTTCAAATTCAACTCGTGAAAAGCAATCAGGCAGTAAATGACTGAATGTATGCAGTACGCCTTTCACAGAGTCACAAATTAGGTTGACACTTTATCATTCAAAAATTGTACTTTTCCAGAGTGCTTACTGTAAACTGTATTTCAAATTGAATATTTCTCACTGATCTCAAAATGTGTTGTAAATACTTTATTAGTTTTATTAGTTTTGAAAAACTGCAACTATCTTTACATTAACAGTATTTTTAAAATGGACAGTTGTCCTGCATTAGTTTAATACACACAGCCCAATCAGTTCCACAATCGATCTAAATTAAAATAAAGTGTGCTGTAGTAATTTAAAATTTTATAACAATCCTCACTTCATCTGCAAATTTCATCAGTGGATCTTGTATCCACGCTTTAAGCACAAAATAAATAGGTCCAATTTCATTTATAAAGCTGCAACCTGTGAAAGTTGCCACAGGTTAATTATGGTGTCATTATTAATCCTCTCACTGCAACAGGTTCAACTGAGACACAAAACTGAACTAAACTGACCTTAAATATATATTTCTCGCTGTAGTGACATAAATCTAAACAATCTCAATCGCAAACTGACAGGGGACAAATTATAATTCTCACTGAACACGCCAAACCTTCTTTAAATCACTGATTTTCAGTACTGTTATCACTGTGTCTCTGGTCTGCTCGAATTAACGTTCAAACAAGTTTTACAAACTGTGCTTTCCTGCATTGTAGTTTGGAAATTATAAAATTTTACTCCATTCAGTCTTTTTAAATGTATTTATTAAAGCTGCCTATGTACAAGTTATCCTGATTTAAGGTATAATAGGGTAATTGAGATCATCAGTGCACCTCAGTGTAGTATGTTTAAACCACTGGTAAAGAATTATATATATCCACAAAGTAAGGCCATCTTATGTGGAGTTTCCAGACATTTGGTTGCTCTAATTAAGCAAATTATCTCAAATTTAAAAACTTTTGAACTGTACGTTTTTTTTCTCCCATTTTCTTTGACTGAGTTTTTAAGTTTCTTTTCATATTATTTGGATAAATCGTATTCAGTAGGTGGATTAAACATTACATTTTAAACTAACACTGTAACTTTTCACGTTACTATCCCATAGCGCAGAACTCTATTATGTTATATTAAGGAGGGCAGCCTATTCAGTAGCTGTGGCTTTGGGGCTGTGCGCCTGCATGTGGACATGAGAAGGCTACACAAGGTCGACACAACTGTAACACTGCCTGAGACCCGAGACCAGACCTGGACTCTCCTAATAGACCATAAAAAGCTATTTGATGTCAGCTTGTAATTATATGACATAGTTGTCACCGGCACGAGTCGATCAGGGTCACAACAAATCAATAGACGCAGTTACTGTACTTTGTTGAGGAGGCAGCGCGCATCAAAATAGACCCCCAAGTTTTCCCTCTGCAAGATTAAAAATAAAGATCATACGATGCAACGTGTCTAGTGGATGTTTTTTTGGGTTTTTTTGCGAGTGAGTGGCAAGTGGTGCGAGCGCGGCACTTACTTTATTTCGCGTTGAAATCTTGTCCGGGTGAAGTGAAAGATACAACAAGCCGGTCCGCCGGTTGCTTGGTCCGGCCGATTGACAGGAAGGTTGAAGCCGCTGCTGGATGGTGACGGACTTCGGCCAAGACGCACTTAAAATCCAGGAGCGCAACTTAGCAGAGGACGTCGCCGGGAGGGAAAAAAAGTAACCTACAGTACGCGGTAGGAGACTCTATAATGTCAGAGAAAAGTACTCTCTCTCTCTCCCTCTCTCTCTCTCTCTCTCTCTCTCTCTCTCCCTCTCTCTCCCTCTCTCTCTCTCTCTGATCGGACAGTGTCTGCTCAGGAGGCGGTGAGGACGCTTCGCCTGGTCTCTGTGCGCGGTGCCGGTGAGCGGAGAGGGACCCGGTGGAGCGGTGTGGCGGCGGCGGCGGTGGAAGTGGTGCTGCTGGCGTTACTGCTGGACGCTCTGGAGCTCGGTGGTGATGTCGAGAGGCTGTTTCTGTTCCTTCCCACAATCCCGACCGAGTCTTTCCCCAAACCCTCTCCTCTCCCAGTGCGAGGAGAAATAATCGATTTTTTTTTTCTCTCTCCTCTTTTTTTTTTTGACTTCTGAAAAGGGGGCGGGCTCACATTTCCCAACTCTACTTTAATGAAAGAGGCACGGCTCTTAATGCTTTATTATCGCACCAGCCCCGATAGAGTGGACGCGCAATTAACTGCTCAGAGAGGACCACTAGAGGAACATGATGGGGAATGTGTGCTTTAACTAATGAACCAACGGAGAGCGCGTTAAGCGTTTGCAGCCGACTTTAGACAGTTAAATCCTAGAGCCTTTAAAGTTGATGTTTTTGTTGGGGCAGGCTCAGTGTCATGCATGTTGTCACATCAAATGGCAAGTGTGCTAAAACTTAAGTCAGACTTACCCCCTCCCAAAAAAAGAAAGAAAAATAACATCAGCAGGATAAACACATTTTTAGAAACACTGAATACCTTGGTAAACAGAAAAGGCTAATCTCTCCACTCAAGAATAAAAAAAATGAATGTTTGCTGCTATGAAGACAAAATAAATTATCTCTTATTTTAGGGGGAAAATTGATTTTAAGACTCCTTATTACATTGCATTGAATAATAATATGTGCTTCTTGTAATGCGGTGACAATAAAAAGTACAATCACCTCGTTTATCTTGTTCAGTGAGCCCCAAATAATACCATTGAATTCACAACAGATTTATTCCATGTCTGTGCAACATGAATGCTGCCTTCTTTCTGATTCACTACAAACTTTCCACCTCCTGCACGCCGCCAATCATTCTCCAGGACCCAGCTATCTTCTACAGATAAGCCCTGACACAGACAGTAAGCATGGGGGAATTACCAAGCCTTTATCCATCCAACCAAATGATTTCAAAACATCCACTCTATTAGTGTGAAGATAACAATTAGAACAGCAAGTTTGCCACTTCAGATAAGACACAGACAGGCAGCGCAATGGCTTTCTGTACAGAGATGTATCCCAGATAGGCCTTGTAATACTGTGGTTCTATTATACTCGCATTATATGGGTGCTGTATCAGTTTAAAGACTTTTAATGGTTGTCTTGAATGAAGCCTGTTATACTCTAATACACCATCAGGTCTCACTCTTTTCTTCTTCAGAATAAGAAAATATCTTAGCTTTTGATTAACATGGGTGTTTGAAGTCTGTTCGGTCAAAGTGTTGTATACAGCTGAGGATCTCACCATTTCCATACTAAAAAAATGAATGCCCCTTTAAATGTCATTGTCCCTGAAATCTGCTTTTCACTGAAAATATTGGTCTAACTTCTCTTAATGAACTTTTACTGTATGTTTAAATGCAGACAAACGTCGAAGCATTTCCCGTATGGGCTTAGCCGCCCAGTACGTGCCTTTTGTAGGTCTTATGTGCCGACTGCGTGAAGTGTAAGTGGACACCGAGCAGCACCCTAATCTTTCCCTTCCTTTGAAGTTCACCTGTGAAGCATAAGCCATGTATGCAGCCAGCCACCCAGTCAGTCAGTCAGGGTAGGAAATGGCGGAACATGAAATCAGTTAATAAATAAATCAAGCTGGCTAATCTGCTTGACGGGAGGACATTACAGCCTGTAACTGAAGCTGCTGGTGTCTGATGACTCGGGATACCACCTTCACATCACCTGACCCTTTAATCTTTAATAGCATTTCCTCTGGCCCTCAGACCTCCATGATAATCAATAAGGTGTAGTCTGTTAGACACAGTGGGTTCATAAATGCAACGTGGCAGTTATCAATAGCATCACATATTAGTATGTATGAAAGCTACAGCTTTGACAACCTGAACAGACACAATTTCCGTCTTTCAGACCTCTGTGGGCGTATTACTGGCAATTGCATTAAATATGTCACTGATATATGGACACCTATGGGTGCCTGCAGGATCGCACATACCACGTTCAACGTTCCCTCGTCTGCCGTCTTGTGTGCCTTCAGTCTCGTAGCTTTCTGTATGTCAGCGATTTATCGGAGAGGTCCTTTCAGTGTTCACAATACTCGAGGTCAACGATGTGCAAAAAGCCGGGCTAAAGTTGATGAAGCAACAGCCCATTTGCCTTCTTTGGCTGAGCTGCCCCTCTGGAAAAAAAAGGAAGAAACGTTTTATTTTTGCTGTTGTGATGCACAAATACAACTAGCCTTTAATTAGTAAGTTGGACCAAATTAAATCGTCATATCATCCAAACTTTTATTACTTTTTAATTAACACCATTGCATGATATATGATTCTTTTTACATTAAGATCATCCCATCATAGCAAAGCCTTTAACACTCGCCCAGACCCCTCACCCTTACCCTAACCGTCTTGGGTTTGACATCAAAAATGTTTGTTTGTTATGATTGGATGAACAACATTTCGTGCTCATTAACTATTCATGACTTGACTTCTTTGGAAGAAAATGTTGCCCACGGAATCCTGAGATGGGGCAATAGTTAGTAGCTGGCTAACATAGGGGTAGTGTTATTTTACAAAAGCCTCTCAAAATGTCTGTGCACCTCGCTGCTTGAAGTTGTCTTTGGTTGTCACCTGGGAGGAGAGGTAACGTAGAGAAGTGTGAGTATAGGAGAAGAGAGAATGAACCTGCCAGTGAAATCGTAATTGCTTTCATGCACCTTGCGCATAGTGAGCAAGATCCATGTTAACATCTACAGTATGTGTGTGTGCATGTGTGTTTGTGTGTTTAACGGCCATATAAAATAGAGAGAAATAAATGGGGGGAGGTGGATTGAATATATTTGAATGGTGAAAAATCATTAAATGAGGCAAACACTAGCTTATGCATATTCATAAATGACTCTCTGACTTGTCTAAAGGAATAAAGTTATAGTGAAGGCATACTAACAGCCTGATTCTATGCTCACAGATTTAATGCAAAGTAGGGAAGACCCACTGTATATTTTGCTCTTGAGACAACAAAGTGGGGGTCTACAGCTAATGGTAGAAACAGCTAAAACCATTATAGCCCGATTATTGTTACACTATATTATATTGTTCAGAGTTTGTCACATATGCCTTTTACAGCTGGTTAAATTTAGGGAGGTACACAATAAGTGTGTGCAAATACACTGAACAGGCTTGAGGTTAAATATTGTAGGTTGTGGTATTTATGTTATTTTGAGCCAAAGTATTTTCCTCTTAATTAAAACAACTACATTATTAGTTTCTTGCTATCTTAAACTTTCCCTGCCCAACTCATTAGCCATTGTCCTTCCCTCCTACTCTTAGAACATGCAATCCTGAACTTATGGTTTGACATGTGTGTGCGTGTGTGTGTGTGTGTCAAGTGTGGGTTGACAGTCTCATCAAAGCCCGGTGGAGAAAAATCAACAGTTTGCCAAAACAATTATGTAATTTCAAATATGTCACAGTGTGTACACACACACTTTAGACTTTTGGGTAAATGCAATTTCGTGAGGTTTGGCATCGGTCGTGCATAAAAAGAGAGGAGGGGAAACTGCGACTGCATGTTAAGTCAAACACATAAGTGCGGTTTGCTGATATTGATCTTGCTTGGATTGTTTCTTAAGCCTCTCCTGGCAGTCACTTCACAGCATGTGTCACACACACACACATGCAGAACAGCTCGCCTGAAAATGTGTGTTTTTTTTGTAACTGAGGGAGAAAGAAAGGAATGCCTCTCTCAAGCAAAAGATAAACACAAACACATTTCCAGGGCAAACAGGAACAGCCCGGGCTCAGTGCAATCTGTTGTCGATCATGCTCACGTGAAAACACAATCTGCCTGTCACAGTAGATGATGTTGTCAAGCACTCTGCCTCCCTGCTCCTGAGAATTAGCCAGCTATTGCGAAAGCACTACAAGACACATTTGTAGTATGTCAGATATGTCTGAGGATGCCTTCAGCTTTATTTGGTATTTACTGCTTTCAGTCATTCTCGCTGCGTTCGTTCCCTAATGAATTTGAGAGACATTTGGTGTTTTGACACTAGATTGATGCTACATGATGTGACAACCGAACAAGGGGTACAGGAAGACCTGCAGGCCAAATTAGCTCATAGGCTCAGCTGGGGATCTATAGATCGTACATCTGCACACATGTAGTGTGTGTGTGTGTCTTATTTGTACAGCGATATAAGCATTTGGGGACAGTCCCAACACTTAACATTTTTGGACTGAATTCTCAGTACATCATACTAATTTGAAATTGGAATATTATGAATACATTTATTAAAATTGAAATGTTATTGTTGACCGGATGCATAAGCCTCTGAAATCACGACCGTCATGTATAATTCAATTCTGCTCCATATATTTAGCTGTAGAAGAAACTGGGAAAAATTACATAACCTATTACAAAAATAAATTAAGAACTGAAATAAATAAAATGATTTACAAAAAACAACAATTAATGCATTTAAACAATATGACACTAGTGACACTAACTGGTCAATTTCCATATTTGTTCAGGCCAGCATCGGCTTGATAAATCATGTTATTGTGTAATCTGTAATTGTGTTTGAGTGCGCAATGTATATTTCAATGCATATTTCAGTTTTTATACTACATATAATTTAGACATCTTCAAAAAATAGAACACAATTCAAATCTTACATTCATTCTTTGTTCGTGTTAGCAGGTGACATCCATATTGTACAGGACTTGATCAGCCTGAACATCTGGGTTCTGTTCTCAGGGAAAACATACCGACTTTAGAAGTCATCTCACACTTTGTAGGAGAGATGAGAGACATTTCCCTGCCGATCTGCGCTTGGTCTTTGTAAGTCATCCAAAGCAATATATTACACATGATTTGGAGCTCCTTATTAATAAGGTTTATAATGAAACTCAGAGGGCAATATCATCAGAAATTAGAGGTTGTTGTACCACTGTACAGTATGATTAGGGGAGCAAAGGTGAGAAAATCACTTTTAATTAACTGAAATCATATGTCCTCATATTACAAAATATATAAAACAAAGAAATTCATGATTCTGGGGAAGTATTTATTTGTACACTCAAATGAGCTTTTGTAATATTAAGGTGACATTCCCCTTCCTCAATTAGATTGCAGGCAATATTACCTTGCTGATTCTACTACTGAAAGAAAGCATCAAAGCAGCATGTTAAAACTGTTTTTGAGTCAGGGTCATATATACTAGCACATTGTGGTAACTTCCTTTGCAAAGATATGTTATATGTAAATGTGTTACTGGGGAAATGTCTGTCAGTTACCAAGTCTTGCACTTGAACTTGCTTATTAAATATAGTTATTTCAGTTCTTTTCATCTGTATCACTTAAAAAGCAAAAGAAATCACTCTACAATAAACTGATTTTTGACTTGGACATTGAATGATCCCACATAGCTCATAAACCTAAAGCCACGTCAGTAATTTACAGCTTTTGGTCAGCTATAATTCCAGTAGTTTTCAAAGTAAAGAAAAGCAAAAAAATAAAATTAAAAGAAAGTCATGTCTACTTATCATTAGCTGCTGTGTTCCATAATGGTATGACTCACTTTTCAATGAAACCATACAGAGCCTTATTTTCAGTAACACAGTTTTTCTCTGTGGTTTGGCCATTAACTGTATCTGGCCAGCATGAAATTCACTGTACCATTTCATACATTTCCTGGTCCTTACAGTTCAGCTTCAGAACAGCACTCTGTGTGGATCACATCACTTGAAGCAGATCTGAATGCAATAATAGGAAAGTGAGAAGGCCTCCGGTAATGTCCACATAACAACCCCTTACCGAGCGGTGTCAAACGAGAGACAACACTGGCGATTTGCATGTGTCGTGTTTAACAGTTAACAGTTTTCTGTCTGTACACCTTTTATGCATTATGGATGAGACACAAGCTGAACAACAAGCTCTCCCTTTGTTCTGCCTGATGCTCCAGTTACATCATAGGAAAAGCCCCATGGTCCTGTGACTGCGCAGACAGAGACACAGAGCCGCTGGGGAGCTGTTGATCAGACCTGTTGCTTCTTCACTTTCTTAAACTATCATATATATGTGCAAACGTAGATGTGGACACATGCATTTACACACACACTCAAACTTACTAATCTAAATGAGACTGTGTGACTTAATAAACTTTTTTTTGTTTTCTGTATAGATTAATTCAAACACCAGACCATGCCACCTCTTGAATTTAATGAATGATAATAAAAAAATAACATTTGGATATTTAGATTCCAAAGAGCAGCTGTTGACTAAATATATAATTCGATTATTCAGGCTTGATATCTGCAGATTAATTAACTTGATGAAACCGTCAAGACTGCTTACTAATTTTACGATCAAAATGCTTTAATGTTATTTATGTCATAAATCCGTATGCGACAGGCGCCATCAGTGGGCCACCTGCTACATATGAAAAGCTCATTTTTCCTATAGAGGTGAATTGAGACACTGTTTTGTAATTAAATGCACTGCCTGCAGGGGAGCTCTGCATCCTTCTCAGCATAAACTGCATGGCTTAATTGGAGGTCTCCCCCAAACAAATTTAAACCTGTATTTTTTTAACCCTACATTTTTTTAATTTGATGGATAGCATAACAACCTTTTCACTGAGAGGAACCATCTAAACATTAAAGTGAAGTCACTTCATTTGAACAGAAATTAAATATCAGTAATTAACTTACAAACATTTACATTTTTTATTCTAATCCCTGACACTGGCACTTCTCTCTCCCCTCTTCCTGTGTCTTCTCTGTGCTGTAGCAAGTGAAACAGCCAGACTTTATGTCTGTATATCAGGGGCTCAAAGTTCTCTTTGTCCTCACTAGATTGCTTCATGTGAGGGGAAAAAAAGAAACTAACTTTCTGCTAATGATTTTTGCTCTTTTTGAATGGTTGGAAAGTAATTCCCTATGAACTGCTCCAACACAGGCACAGTTATTTCATTGTTCTCGCTGCCCTTTCTCTAATTGTGCCCATAAAGGGGATGCCAATGTTACATTTTTTTGTCTCTGTTCAAGGGGTGCCTACTGGTGTTTCCTGAAGTGGTGCAAAAGCTGTGTCTGAAACATTATTAGTGTTAAATGAGCAGAAATGTAATAGATCCCATGTCTGGGCAAGTTCCATAATCATCATGTGAAAGTTTTAATGATGTGAATTAAGAACTGTTACACTACAATGTAAACCTAAATGACATATTTATATATAATCCTGAGCAGAAAAATTACGAAAATTGTTTTCCGTTTGTGTTGACCCAACGGCTGAAGATATACTTGCTTTCAATCACCATTCACGTAGATAAACAACTGCACCTTGAACAGAATTGTTTACATACTTGCTTGTACACTAGAGGGCACACAAAAGAACCATGGTTTACTATTTTGTTTATTCTGAGATCACGGCAAAAAAAGCAACAGCGGTGCCATCACAGATGGTAAGGTCCCTAAATCAAGCGCGCAAATGTTTCTCTCGTTCCTCCAGTGCGAGAAACGGATGATGAGAAACACAACCAGTATATTTGAATGTCCGCCAGAACTTCTGATGATTTGCTCCATCTGAATGTACACCACAAAGCGCACAGTGAGCCAGTCAGTTCAGCAGAGAGGTTTGCTCTGACGTGTCCACAGACCCCTAACCGTGTCACATCCCCATACTGCCCCTACTGTTCACATGCATATTCCACCATGTGGACGTGTAGCATTAATTTCCGAGGATGTGCACAACCAATGTCACAAACGGACGCATGATACACGAGGTAGCCATCATGCGTACACCAACGCGTAGTTAAAAGCAAGTAGGTCTCCGGCTTAGGTCTCCATTTACCACACAAGGACCTCTTGTGGCCATGCAAAAGAAAGCTCTGTTGGTAGAATTAGCATGAGATTATGTGTTACAAAAATCGTCTACGTCTATTTAAAATGATCTTTTAGTCCAGGCCAGTAGTGAATTCAGTGATGTCAGATGTTTGGATAACACAAAGATCTGTTGTGAAGTTGTATCAGCAACACAAGATCACTCTTAATTTTACCATTCACTATTTTATTCTGTTACTCTTTTGATTAATATTACTAATAATCTGTTTGCCTAACTGGGCCAAACCTATATGTTGTTATATATTCATCTATTGCAAAAGGGCCTACAGTCATCAGTGTTTCCAAATCCCATAGTAACCATTACACAGCAGAAGTCCCTCCTGCAGCTGTTGACCTCAGCCAACTCCCTTGACAATTAAAGATCACTCAGCAAGGCTATGCAACTTCTCCCACACTCTCAACAAGCAGCTGATAGCATCTCACTGTGAAGAAAAGCAAGTGGAGCGGAATATAATGTGTGTCTAAATGAGGGATCCCCAGCTCTGATGTGTGATAGCGAGGCCTAGCGACCATCGGCGCAGGCCCATGTTACATGGTGGAACTCGGCAGACGAGCGGCAGCGTCTAAAGCTCTTTGTGCCTCCAGGATCACCCCGACTCATTCTTATTCAGACATGATCAGAGGGGAGGCAGGCAACTGAGATTAGCTGCAGATCAAAGGAGCTGCCTCGCGCCAGCACTCGTGTTTTGTAGATTTAGGCGGCCCCGGCGCACAGGCGTTGTATAGTGACGGCAGAGCGTCATACTGTTTTCTGGCCTCGACGGTGCTCAGGGGGGTAGATGGAAAGAGAGTTTTCATACAGGAGGCCTGACCGCGGCTGGAAATCTTCCAAAATGAAATAATAGACAATAGGAGAGAATGAAAAGCAAAAATAAGGACAAAATTACCATGCTGTTAATGTAAGCCATTACAGTGGAACAAAGATACTTTCTAAGCCAATGCAATTGAAACTGCTTCCATATGTGTAATAGGTCTTGGTTCAGTGATAATTTGTTTTAAAAATGAAATTTCTACAGTAACATATCTTAGGTAACTCAAGAGCATCTGGATCAGTGGTGCCCACCAAATAACCATGGAAACTAACTACAGCACTCGGAAATTCTATGCTGTATCTTAACCTTCCTATTAATTTGCACAAAAACACCACTTGAAACCCCACATAGCATATCTGCATTAAATTACATTCCACTAAAAACTAAACAAGCAAACATTTTTCTTTGATACATTTCAGCAAGTTTTAGCTTTTGTATTATGAATTACATGAACAATCTGACTGTCCTAAATGTGAATACAATTTGATTTCATCTATATTCATATTTCAGACATTAGACCAGATAAACAAACTATCCCCTACTATTCATACGGCATAAAGAACAGCAACAATGAAAGTAATAGCAGAGTGTGAAGGTGAAATGACAGGATGAGAGGAGTTTCAAAGGCAGAGAGGCAACTGCGTAAGAGCGCTCGACACCCTACAGAGAAAGAAAACAACGCGTTTCCTCAACTCCGCTGACCATCAAAGCCATGGAATTCAGGGGCAGAAAAGCTAATAAGTGAGGACCGAGCGGTTCCTGTAAACTGGGTCAAAGTTTCTCAGATCCTGCCTCTTTAGGTTAATACCAAGAGGACAGTAACTCTCCCCAGGTATGAAATAAGTGACAAGAGTGCATGTCTGTTTGTTCGAGCTTTGCTCGGAAAGGTTCTTCATCATTAGCGTTAATTGTGGTAGCAGCCTGTACACTAAGATAAGGGATGCAAAATAAAAGAAAAAAGAAAATGTTTTCAAAATACAAAGATATCGTATTTAATTATATTACTTTTCCTCTTATTGTATCCAAGAGCTACAGTGAAATCAAATGTTGAAGGAAAATATCCAACAGAGTCACTCACCACTCATTAAAATCAAACAAAGCCTTTGCTTTAGTATGAAATTCCATGTGGTTGTTTTGGGACAAGTGCCCTATAGCAGAGACCTATTCTTATGTCTCCTGTAAACCTATCTGGTTGGGAATAAACCCCTCTCTGTTTATTTAATATGACAAAAGTTTCTCCTTCGTTTCAAAAGTTTGCCTGATATGTCTTACTTAAATACCAAACTGTGTGACACATATTGCTACTGAAGTGTGTATTTGCCACTTAGGTAGCTACCTCGAGGGAATGAGTCATTTCTAAAGCAAACAGCATGTTAAGGCCATGCTCTTTTCTCTCACTGATAATTCCAGATTGTGCAATGAGATGTTCTAAGCAATTACCCTTAAAAGTACCAGTAATCTAAACTGACTGTAAAGAATTAGAAACAGAGAAACTGCACAATATAAAGTTCCACTTTAGTGACTTAAACCATTTGTCTTGCCTTAGAGAAATAAAAATGTAGACTTTTAAAACTTAAACATGCACAGTTCCAGGAGCCTCAATCAGTTATTCCGCAAGTGCTCTACAGAGGTGATTGGCAACAGCTAGGACCTGACTCCTCCTTCAGCTTGTTAGAGCTCCTATGATGTCTTTCTACTTTGTCATGAGCAGGAAAAACGCAAAGTAAACACCAATTAAGCGTATCTTGTGGCCTTGTTCATACTGGTATAGTCGTTTCTGTATTGGGCTACATGACAAAGACATCATTCATGAATCCAGCAAGACTATAATGAAACAATTAGGGAAGAGCGCTTAAAAATAAATTTCAGAACAGTTCAAGTTGAGCAGCTCAAATATCAAAATGATGGCTTAATGTGTTAAACATGTCATGATCCACTGTGAAGAGTATGGTTTTAAATCCTGACAGAAGCAGGTTTTCCACTGATAGAATGAGAACCAGAGGAAAGGGAAAAAAGGAAGGGAAAAGGTGTACTGTGAAAACTCACCCGTGCCGTTTCTCTGCTTCCCCAGGAAGTTACACCCTGCAGCACCAGCTAAGGCCCAGCTCAATCAAACAGTTCAAAAACTTTTAAAAAGAAAGGAAAACGAATGAGATAGCTGGCAAAAAGAAATCAAAAAAATACCGACAAATTGCCTAAAATAAATGTCCTGCATGTGATAAAGCCAGACCAGCTGGCTTTGAATAGAAACCCCCGATTTGGGTTGTGTGTTTTCCCCCGATCTCTGTCTGAACTGACACCAGGTCTGGTTCTTTCCAGCCAACCCCCCACCACCTCTACCCCTCTCTCCCAGCTGAATCCACCTGTTCCAATCACTCCTCGGTAAATTTAGCCTTTGAGGGATCAGTGAGTACCCCCCCTTCAAGCACACACACACACACACACACACACACACACCCACCCTAGACCTTTGTCAGCACTGGCATATATGCCCCGGATTATTGCCCCCCCAAGAATGCTGCCATCTTCACAGGGGCAAAAAAAGACACCCTTCCCCCTTTTTCCCCCTTCACACATCCACAACTTGAAACTATACAGACGACATTCTTCTCATTAAACCGTTTCTTTTGAAACAGAGCTGTTGCAGGTGGTGATGACTATCCATACTTTGCACACACTTTTAATGTGCTTAACCTTTCTGTATACATGTGACAGAAAAGATACCATACTATATGAAACGGGCCAGATCTCAAGAACCTATATTATTATTTCTTGAATTTGATGACCTATATCACAGCTGCAAAACACATTAATTATACTTTACTGTCATAAATACCATTACTTCTTTCATAACCAGCATCTATCTATGTGAATCATAAATAAATTATCTAATGGAAGAGATTAGCCGGCATTGATAGCATCTTGTCAAATGTCAAAATACCAGGTGCAGTGGTATACACCTATAATTTGGTAATTATAAACTCATTTAACTAAGTATATCTACATGACTAAAATCCGCCTACAGTCTTGGTTTGAACCACAATGCTCAGGAAATGTCATATTTTCATTAATGCCTGATAGAAATCATACATCTCCATCCAAGAGAAAAGTTTTGAGTTTCCCTAAGCTGCTGGCGCCCTGACGGTAAGCCATTTCTCCCCTTAAATGATACATTCAGTAGAATGTAAGTATCAACAAGCTTAAACCGTAATATCCTCTGTGACTGTTCTCACATTAGTAGAGTTTTGTGGGGGTGGCACAGGGGTAATTTTATTTTTTGAAGTATTTTCCAGTCAGGGTCTTATACCTGATGCCAAAATCTAATGTAGATAATGACACTGAATAAAGCACCCAAATTAGTGTTTTATATATGCCTCTTAAATCAACCAATTTGCTAATGTGGAGATTGATGATATAAAGGAAAGATGAGTAGAATATAGATTGGTATTTTCCCAGAATATGTCCAAAAGAGGAAATCCAGCGTGAGAGGCGATAAAACAGTGGAGTTCCCTTGATGATAGGAATTCACACTCTTCTGACAGTGAAATATATTTTGTATTGATCTGGTTGTATTGTTTACATGTTTCTGGGCACAGATAATCAACTAATCTGTTTATTTTTGAGTTTCTGTCACCATGGCTACCTGTACCCCTATACAGTGTAGGGATCAGTGTCTGCACAGTCCGGTATTTGTGATGACCTCATGGACAGGAATTCAGTGATCTTTTTGGGTGAGGGTGAGGAGTGGCTGATGGATGTTGGTGGGAGTTAATTTAATGATGGCATCCCTATATGAGGGAGAGGGATTCAGTGTCTTGATCAAACTAACTTTAACACAGTGACATGACCTGTGCTGTACCCACGAAGCCAACTTATTGCTTTTCACGCCACACAGTTGGAACAATATACAAACATTTGTATGTACACACATCCACATTGTGCTGCGTTCGTTTATAAGCTTGTGTATTTTGGCTAAAGACTTCTTCTGAATACACTGCCTTGCCAGTAGGGGCCTGGTGGGAGGGCATTTTAGCTCTGTCTCCCTTTTAATGGGGCTGTGGAGGGACTAAGTCGAGGGACAGAGGACTAAAGCCTGGCTGTCTTTTTCTGAGTGTGGCAGGGTCAAGAAGGGGAAAAACAGAGAGCAGCATGTCAGTCTGTGGTACACTGGCGGCAACAAGAACCAGCCAGGCTTCAGCACAGTCAGTAAACTTTAAGAGTACATCCTGTCCTAATCAAACAGGGAAAAGCCAGTCCACATACACTCTGTTTGGCTTTGGTGTAAGGATTTTGTATATCCCTTTTTTTTCCCATACATGTGCATTGTCGGCATGGGAGTCACTCATTAGTGCACATATGTGTTCCTGTGCACTTTAGTGTGTGTCACTGAGGGTGAGTCTGTGTGTCCGTGCTGTGGCTCACAACACTGTGGGCTATGCCAGTGGTGAAACACAAAGCGTTCTGTCAGCTGAGAGGTGACAGGCGCTCAACGGGAAACGTGGCATGGCGTCTCCTCTGAAAACTCCTTTCACTCTGTTTTATTTTCTCTCTATTTTTCTGTTGCTTTATCATTAAATCATCAACAGAAAATTAAAGTAATTATTGTAATGAACCCACTGACAGGTTTATGTAACTCTGGGTGGATTTATGAGTGTTTTTTTAACAACTCTACAGTAGTCTGGGGTAACCCTGGAGCTGTTGATTATGAGAATCACTTGTAAGAATACATGTATGTGTATGTTAGTTTTCAAAATTTTTACTTTTAAAATGATGAACAACAATGAAAAACACCCTGGTAGAAGTAATATTTCTTGGTAACTAATTGTGTGTGTGTGTGTGTGTGTGTGTGCGTAATCCAGAAGGATCATTTCTTTTTTTTGCCAACAGTGCACTGCATGGCGTGAGCTGACTTCAGCGTGTCTGCCCAGCCCTCTGCTCCACACAAGGTCGCTCTGTGTGTGTTCGGCCTCGGAGAATGAGGGGAGGCCGCAGCGCACAATCACCACTAAGCACATACCTTTCTGCCCCACAGCCCCACCAGCCCAGACACAAACCCAGGGGCTGTATGTTTATCAAGCGTCTCAGGGTAAGACTGCTGATTTAGGACCACTGCTCAGGTCCCGTTAACCATCGTTTTCATCACGAATCACTCTCAATGAAAAGGATTTGAAGCGCTGACTTAAAAATCAGCACTCGAAACCTGATTTGCCTGATAAATACCAGCCGAGGCCTTAACCCAACCCGGACCGCAGTAGATTAACAGGGGTTGACCGAACCGGTCCTCTGGAGCTCGATCCTGATGAGCTCTGTTGGTTTTATAAGAGGCCCCCTGTGACAGGATCTGATAAAACACAGCAGGAGGAGGGTTTGAAAGAGAGCTGCAGAGTACAAGAGAGAAAGATTGAGAGAGACAAGGACATAGAGAGATTGAGAGAGCGCGAGAGTAGGAGAGCGAGTACACACCTCAATCCAAAAACAATATTTTGACTGAAACCTTACCCTCCCCATCTGGCTCTTTTGAAGGGTGGATTATGACTGGTGCCATGGCTAACTCTTTATCCCACACTGTTCCTTCTGTAAGTCCACACTGACATTTTTCCTAAAGGACAGTTGTACAGGAAATAAATGTGAGTCCTGTGACTACTAACAGGTATTCAGAATATAAATCACACTAATGCTTTTTTTTTTTTTTCTAACTGAATGACTGTGAAATAAATACAAGTAATTTACAGGCAATACACTGCAAATGTGCTGTATAGACATAAAATTCATGAAGCATATATAATAGCGTGCTTCCTGGATTTGTAAGAGGATTGTGAGTTGCAGCAAAAGCTTTCCTCTCCTCCTTTCTTCCCATAGTGTGACTCAAACTATGACCTAAGGCACTATCTTTAAAGTGACGGGCGGTCCAATTGAAACGTCAGCCCCATATCTGCAATTTAGGGGAAACGTCAAAGATATTAGCACAAGAGTAAGAAAGGGCAAAAATAGGATGACTTCTTGATTAACCACATCTCATAAGCTTTCACAAGTAGATTGGACCAAACTCACAATATCAAAAATGAGCACTTGATTAATATTCACGCTTTAAGTTTTAATCATTGACGCTGGATACACTGCAACCACATCATTCAATTAAATCTCAATGCTTTAACTCTAATTTTCTCCTCATATTGCTCTTTGAGTGTTTTTACCCCTGAGTAAACCTCCATGGCAGATGTTTTGACTTGAAAGCCAAAAGAAAGTGAGACAGTGATGAACTTGTGATGCCATTTGAACCCAGCTTAACTACATACTGTACCACATTCAATAACACCATATTAACTCAGTATATGATCCCGACTTCCTAGAAAAGTGTGCCAAGCAATTGCCTATTAGTGTATTTTTCAAAGTAAGGCTATATTTAGTATCAGCACATAAGGAGTTGATACATAGCTTGTTGAATCAGAGCATTACATGCTCTACTATAACCAAGTATGTTAGTCACATCAGTGCATCTCGTTTAATACATCATTATTTGTTTTCTGCTGTAGGTTATTGAAATCTAAGTAAGATAACACAGCACTGTTTGAGAAATCATTAGTGGTAAATGTACTTAATGGGCTGTATATTGGTTTGTACATGTACCATTAACATTGTTTTGCTCTAATGTCTTTTCAAACTGAGTGCCTTGTGCAATTGTGTTGTGACAAAAACTTTACAACGGTCAGAATAACATTCGGACACAGAAGCCTAACTGCATGTAGTTTGTCAATGTGGTGCCACGTTTTTCATTTGCTCTTCATTTCTCCTTATCACACACCTAGTAGAAAATTCAGTCTTTCAAGTTTTACAACCTGTTATTTCTGTGTTGAGATATATTACTTAAATAGCTCATTTTCAATTTCTCTTAAGTATGGGTTCAATTAGTAAACCGCCAGCAACAGATTCATTTATCACCATCAACAGCTAAGGGCTGTTTATTTGGATATATTGACGCTTTCATAAGCAAATCTCACAGCTCAAATTTCAGAAGTCTTTGTGGTTTTGCTTTTATCTAGCTTTATGTAGTCTGGTGTGGATGATTTAGTTGACCCTAGGAACCCCTAAACTTGGAATAAAATGTTTTTAAAAAGACCTCAGTCTGAAAAAAAAACTTTCTAAATATGTTGATGTGAGTTGACATACAAAAATTACTTTTATGTATTACTGTGTAGGTTTGGTGTTGGGTAGTGGGCACAGCATGGCTCTAGGGTCCAGTGGTTTACCTTCTTCCAAAAATGAAGGCACAGTAGGTTCTTCGGTCATTTCTTTTGTAAAAGTAAATGGAGTGACA